TGTGACATGAGAGGAGGCTGTCACACTAACATTCTGCAGAACTTGAAAGAATAGGATTTTGGTGTGCTAAGATAACATTACCCTAAAACCCTGGAACACTAGACTGCTGTGAAGTCAAAATATTTTAATCACCCATAGGGTGCACTATTAGGCTTACAAACACCATCGCCATATTTTCACATTTCAACATAAGCTGTTCATTATAACATAAATACCGGTTCAGTTGTCAGGATGTTATTTTAAAGTGACCTTGCTTAACCGGACAGCCGGCTAATTGTTTTGGTACACTTCTAAAGTGTTTTGCAATTAAGGAGAGCAAACTATTTTTCAAGCCTCAAGTTTAACAGCACTTTCATTTACAGGGAGACTTTCGCACTTCACACCTACAAAGTTACAAACTCTGCCACAACTATAAAGAAAGAGGCAGCAGGATTCTTATTCATTCACAGTTCTGTGTTTTACACTGAGGGGAGCATTGAGGAATGTGCACTGAGACACCTTTAAACAAAGGACCTCAGATTTATACCAGCAATCTGACCCTGCTGCCTGGTAGGCGTACTATAACACTCAAGCTATGCTTGTACAATCAACGTCAATACAGAAAGAGGGCATTAACGTGGCTGAATATATTTCTTGTGTGTTGCTCAGCCATAAGGACAGCTCTCAGGCATGAGCCGCTTTCTATGCTTCTGAGAACCACCTATCCTTTTAAGATGCTTCCCCATCTCAACAGGGTTGATACTGGCTCTGTTTTTTCTTTTCCCTTTCTCAGCTACATTTCCCGACCTCCTGTGAGTTTTCCTAGAGCCCAAGGAAGGAAAGCAAGTGCAGGCCAGTCATCCGATCTCATTCTCAATCTTTCTTTTTCCAATGTATATGTGTGTTTACGCCTATTGTGTGCATGGTACCAGCCATGCTAGCATGACCCAGGAACAGTCGAGGACAAAATACTGCCCTACCATCAGGCTGTTCACCCAGTGTTTCAGAAAGTTTAGTCACTATTCCAGTGTTGTCTTGAATTAACTCCTCCTGAACTGGTACCATTCGATCCAGTGGGTGAAAAACCAGCCATTGCACCAGAAAATAACATTAGTGAGGTGAAGGTGAAATCCAGCCCCTGTTCGCAACACTGGATGTCTTAGCTCTGATGGTTTTTGGTGTCTCTCTCAACAGAACATAAAGAGATGTGTTGCATGGCAAGAACCTTTGCAATTAAAGAACTACGGGTCAATATTTGAGTGCATACTTTGAATATACAACATCCCAAGTACGATCCTAAGTATTGCCAGTTGAAAAGATCTGGCAGAAGGTGAGGAGAAAGATCCCTGCTTGAAATCCCGGACAACCACTGCCATCAGAATAAGTGCTACTAGGCTGGATGACAAGTAAGTATGTGACTCAACAGTCATATAGTTCATATTTTGGTCCGCTTTTGGCACAGTCCAATGAGAGCTATTTTCTGGCAATCAAGACAACCAGTGCCATCAGAATAAGTGCTACCAGGCTGGATGACAAGTAAGTATATGACTCAACAGTCATATACAGTAGTTCATATTTTGGTTCACTTTTGGCATAGTCCAATGAGAGCTATTTTCTGGCAATCAGATTGTGAACCAGCCTGACGTTACTCCATGCCTGAGCCGGACTTTTCTGGTCTAGCAGTAGGGTTACTCTTATTTGGGGCCAGGATGGAGTGATTCCTATATGCATGGAAGTTTCACTTTAAGGGGGACTGCTCCCATCTCCTTTCTGGTGTGATGAGATGCAATCCTCTATTGTCGTCTGATCACATTCTAAGTCCAGCCTTGTGCAAGATATCTTCCTTTCACTCTATGCCAATCATTTGGTACAGCACAGATTTTCAAGGTCTTCTTGAAGAAGTACGTTTTCAGAAACAACAAAAGAGCAATGGCATCTTAAAGACTAACATCTGGTACATCAGATGTTGCAGGCTGAAGTCAATGAAGGTGATGCAAAATACAGTTTGTTGATCTTTAAGACATCAAGTGACTATTGTTTTGGCTTCAAGAGACTCAGGTGGCTGCTCCAACGGGGGAGGGGGGGAATTACAGTGTTCTTAAAAGCACAAAGAGACATGGTTTGCTGGATAGCTCCAGCGACACACTTCTACATTCAGTGTGCTGGTGTGGAAAAGCCCCTACTTTCAGTAGTCTTCAAGCAAGCTGAGGATCAGAAGGCAAGGCTGGAAATGATGATCTCGAACACTTGGTATGATCAAAGATCTTTTAAAGGCCAAGGCCAGCGAGCGGAAGGAGGGACAGTAACCAGACTGTATTATAGATGTTACATTGGCCAGTCATGGCGCTCTGATTAGCATCCTAGCCCATGCAAGAGCTTAAGTGCAATACTATACTGGTTCACAGGCAATCAGGATACACACAGCAGAGATCACACAAAATCAACATGTTATTAGAGCACGGCTATAGAAGCAGGTTTTTATTGAGACTGGGCCTAAAGGAAGCCAGAAGGAGAGGTAGGAGAAAAATGAACAAACAGGACAAAGAGAAATCCCAGGGTAGGCAAAAGGGTAAGAAAAAAGTATCTAAGAGAGAAACGAATGAGTAGGAAACAGGCAAGAAGTTTAGAAATGTAAAGTTTTGGGGAGGGGAGGTAAGTCAGAGGTAGAGGGCTGCTCACAGGAAGGGATGGAAACAGGAGACCCCACAGAGATAGGGAGCTCATTACCTAATTCTCTGGACTATATGCTACATGTTTGCAGCAGCATGAATACATCCAGACAGCATCCACACATCTTCCATATACTAGCCCTGCTCCGCAGCCCCTAATTTCATACCCCTTGAGTGAGTTATGCCTGTTAGCAAGCGTAGTTGCTGGGAAAGCTTCCACTCCTGAAAATTTATCTTTTACTAGTGGGGTTATGCTGTATCTTGCTATGAATGTGTCTGTCCATGCAGGGAGACATGGCAATTTTTCCCTTCCTGTTTCCTGAACAAAATGTTGCCACTCTTAAGAAGGATCAAATGCCTTTCCTTATGTCTCTCTCTCCCGCTCCACTTCTGCCTGCTCTCTTTTCTTCCAAATTCATTTTCTCCATGATAAACAAAGCCATTAGTTTATCAAGTCTATCTCCGGATTTTAATGTGATGCGCCTGAGACATCTGTTAAACATCCTTAATGTTAGTTTAACAAGGACACATTCAGCTGCATTCCCTCGCACTTTCTCCCATTAAGAGAGGGGACGTGGCAGGATTTCTCAGACAAACGGCTCTGCTAATGTGTCTGACTCGTGCGTTTTGACTGGAGAGTGACGGTGGGGAGGGAAGGATGAGGAAAGCAGGTAAGTGGTGGTTTTCTTGTGTGGTGTCCTATATGTCCTTTCTAAAAATGGGTCCCACCTTTCCCTCCCTCCCTCCCCGTCTCTTCCTCTCTCTCTCCCTCCCCCTCTATCCTGGATACAGCACTTTGACCTATCTATATTTCAAATGATGTCCAGGTTGCCTGCCATTTGCTCATAGGAATAGCCATACCAACTCACACACATAACCCTTAGCTCATTTGTACTATCATGAGTTTATGGCACCTGTTGCCAGATTTCCCTGGAGCTGATAGTGGATCTCCTTTGATGACTACAGCGGCTCCTGGAAGAACGTAACTGCTCAAGGCAGGAATGTAATAAGGAGCCATGAAGGAAAGCTACAGGTCCCAAACCCCTCCAGGTAGCAAGGACAATGGAAATATAATATGACAATTGTCCTTGTCCTGCTAGATGAAGTCTGAAAACCAAAGTGTGTGTCCATGAATAGAGGTGTCCGTGCAATAACATGTATGTTTCCTTGCTGTTGTAAACCAGGGCTGACTTCCTGAGACAAAGGGCAAAGAATGCTCCATTCCACAGGAAGAAGCTAACAGGAAGGGTATCTGAATCTTTCTTAAAGACTGGCAATAGGAGAGGGTTCTCTCCAACTCCTGAGAGCAACAAGGCAGTTTAGTGGATAGAGAAGTGGCTGTGGCTGTTACCAAGAGAGGGAAGGGGCTGGCAGGCTCAGAAGGAACAGTTGTGGAGTTGCCACTGTTGCCTGAAGGTATTGCCTAATAGCAGAAATGGCCCTGGCTGATGCTGTCCTATGTACTGTTCTATCAACAGGCCCCTGCACTGGTTGGTTTGGGTGGACGGGAGGCATGTTCTAAACAGGAACGTGGGTGTTTAAAGTCATAAGTTAGTGGTGGAACAAACTGAAGTCCTAAACGATTCTCACTGAATTACACAGTCCTGGTTCCAGGCCACAATTCAGCTCAATCAGGCACAAACAGAGCGATCCTCACTTGTTAGCAACACAAACCAGGGAACACCAAAAGTACAAAGTCTGTAAGACAGGGAGAATCGACAGCGATGTCTGCCAAGCCAACAGCCATCATCAGATGGGGATTTCTCACTCCCAGATTACACTGCCAAGCCCACATTTCAAGCTTTCCAAGGAAGGACCTCTCTGAACACTCTTATGAATATTAATCAGCTGTAATTGCTGTGATACGGTTGATTGAGCTAGTGCTGAATGGAGCTGGGGTGCACATAGTGCTTTGTGGTGTCTCAGAGGCAGGGCGGGAATATGGATGATTAAACAAAATGGCTCCTGAGGGGACAGTGAGCTGGTAAGTGTGAGGGAATGCAGGCAACCCCCTAGGGAACTGCATACTATGCTTCCAGAAGGAACTGGGAGGGAGAGCAGGAGAACAAACATGAGGAGAATGGAGAGACACAGATGCTCAACACAGACACACAGAACTGGAATGAAGGGAGCAATTTGCAAGGACTGTCAACATTTTTTGCATCAGCAGAGAAAAGCTATGTTGTTACTGGATGGTAGGTGGATAATATAATATACCTGCTTTGTGAAATGTCTGTATGTACAGCAGGACAATGATGATGGTGAACCACTCATGAGTTTGTGTGTTGGTCAGGCAAGTGAGACAGATTAAGTGTCCTGATTGCTGTTTCTTGTAATGACCACCTTACTCACATGCGACTGCTGGGTGGGATTTTGCGCCCATCACGGAACCATGTGACCTGTGGCCGAGGGAAGCTGGCGATGCGAGGAGCACGGATGACAGCGGCTTCACCATGGGAGACACTCTGCTGCTTCTCACTCTCCTCAAAACTTCCCATGTCTGGCAGAAGGGAACCAAGCAACAAATAGGTTAACAACATGGACAAAGTAATTCAAGGTGTGGCATTCTCAGAACATTGCACCAGAGCAGAGATGATGGGGGCTTCCAGATCTAGCTTTAATGCATGTATGTACATCCTCTTCCCCCAAGCATGGTATATGTATTGGCAAAAGGGAAGATATAAATGTTGAGAAATGGAATGAACCAACCTTCAAGACCTTTCAATTCTAGAATTAACCCGTACATATCTCCATGTTTGCTTTTCCCACTGTTTTTGCTCTTCTCCAATTCATACATGAAATTTCTGCACACAGGCCAGAAAGACAGTGGGCACTGAACAATGAAAGGGACCCAAAGAGAACACGCTATAAAGGGTAGTCGATGTCATGAAAAAAGGTGGGCAGAATTGAGGAAGGCGAGATCTTAATGTGGACCCGCTCAGCTTGTGGTTCATCAGTTCTAAATGTAAACCAGCTTTGCATGGCAGCTTAAGAATCCCCTGATCTCTCTCTCTCTCTCTCTCTCTCTCTCCCCCTCTCCCTCCCCCCTTTCTCTGTCTCTCTCTGCTTTCTGTTTTGTACACTGTTGGGAAAGGTTCCTGGTCATCCTGACACCTTGCCATTTGAAAGATCTCTTCATCGTTTATACCGACTATATTGTAAGTTTCATCAAGCAGGATTTTGGTTTGGGAAATGGATTGCTAAGTGCACAATACACATGTCATGTATACATTATGAAAGGGTGCCCAACTGTCTGTCTCTCTTTGCTTTCTGTTTTGTACACTGTTGGGAAAGGTTCCTGGTCATCCTGACACCTTGCCATTTGAAAGATCTCTTCATCGTTTATACCGACTATATTGTAAGTTTCATCAAGCAGGATTTTGGTTTGGGAAATGGATTGCTAAGTGCACAATACACATGTCATGTATACATTATGAAAGGGTGCCCAACTGTATAAATCATGGGCTTGTCCTGTAAAAATATTACGGGAGAAGGGACTGAGTCACAGCTCCTCTCACAAATGGTACATGTATGCGTTGCATTTTAAAATCAATTTCCAGAAAAGAAGAAAATCATAGGAAGTGGTCATTAGTTGTGGGGTAGGTAGGAGACAGGAAGGTGATTTTCTGTAAACTGGAACATTTGAAAAGGGTAGTCATGGCTGCTCATGTACAAAACAGCACAGACAATAGAAATGAACATTTCAAGTGTTTTATATCAGCAATGACCTGTGGAAAAACCAACCCAGACACCTCAGTCTCCCACACTTCACATCATCTCCTCTGCTGTCACACTCACTCATATACCCACACTTTCTGTCCTTCTGCTTGTAATGGCTGGATACCTCCCCCCTCAACACTCTTGTCTGGATTCAGAGCCTTCTCTCCCCCCTCTTCCATGCTCTGACCAACAACCTTGACACGGCTGGGATGGGAAGCTAGTGCTGCCTCCTGTTGCGGATGTTTGTACATTGGCAATTTATAGCACCTTTAATAATAATAGTACTAATCGCAAAATGGGGGTGTGTGGGGAGACATTTTATTGACTTGCTTTAATTGCTGTAATTAAAAACATGTAAAGAATCTCTTTTTAATGACTTGGCCATTAGCGTTGGCACAGCTGCCTGATTAATTTCACATTAGCTGCCTGATTTGCCATCAGACTTTGGAGGAGGGGGCTGCTTTGGGGACGGGGAGAAGGTGATCATGATGGAGTGAAGCAGACAAGTTAAGGTGGGGCCAGTAGAAGTTGGAGAAAGCGCAGGCTACTGTGCAAGATATATCTATCTCTCACAGGCCAAGACATCACTGTTTGCTTATGGTTGAGGCTGCCTTCACGCTGTGTGTTCAGAATGATTTGCAGACTTAAAAGTTACGGGATGTTCACAGATCTCCTTTTTCTGATTTTTGATGGTGATTACTTTCCTTTCCCCAATTGTTGGTGGTTATTTTTCTTCCCGACAGAAAGGCAGGGAGTTGGGGGAAGTCAGCACACTAAATCTTAGGTTTTCAAAGCACTCTGTTGAGTCCATAAGCAACAAGGTGCTGCTTCTCTCCCCACCCCTCGCCAAGACTTTCCGGTGGCTGCTTGGATTTTAATTTTCTCTCCCGGCTTCGGCTCATAGATCTTCATTCCCAAGAATGCTGATGAGGCACCAGGTCCACTTAGGATGATCCCTGATGGAACGCACTTCTAACAAGGAACGTCAGAGGAGGAGGCGAAGCCCCTGCCAAAGGAAATGTTGGCCTCAGAGCTTTTTGCACATGTAGTTTCATGCTGAATCTTGTACCTGGGGCCGGAGGGCCCTTTAAAAAGGAAAACTTCAAGAATCATGGGCTTTTCTCCTGTTCTCCAAGCAACTCCTAGTTTTCATAAAGAACAAACACTCCTAATAGAGACAGACCGACACCATTAGAAAAACTGGTTTTGGCACGATCTTTGCAACGCAACTGTGGAGCAGCCACTCACAGTGGCAGAGGAATATATAACTGGAAAATGGCAGGCTTGAGCTCTTTATCCGCTCGGTGGTAGAGCCAGTCAATGGATGTCAAATCACATACATTATCTTAGCTTAGTCACGAGGGGGAGAAAGTTTCAGGATCTTGAATCTTTTAAAATGGGAGCTCCTGCCGTCGCAGGCAGGGAAGCCAGAAGGGCAACATCAAAGCCAGGAAAAGAGAAGGGAGCAAAGCAAAGGAGGCTCGAGAAGAGCGGTGGTTGTGGTCCAACGCTGAGGCCAGCCACGGGGCTCCAAGCAATTCTTCCCCCACTCAGAAGCTCTCTTGCTTTTCATCCCCCACCAGCACACACAGGCTATCCTCGGAAGCACTTTCTTTCTTTTGTTAGGATTAACTGCATGGCATCTCGCTTTCCAGGACGGCACTTTTTCTGCTCTGTTCCTGTGCACCTGCCTGCGACCGCAGACAAAGCCTGCCCAGTGCCTAGCAACCTTGCCTTAAGCCTGAATTAACAGCTCCAGCGGGTAGTCGTGGGCCTCTTCCTAGCTTTCTTCTTCTTCTTCTGCGCCTGGCTCAGCAAGTCTTCCTCTTTTTTCTTCAGGCTTTTGAAGTCCTCATCATACCTCAGGATCAGACATGCAGAATCTGTCAGGGCCAGCCTTCTGCCCAACCGCCTCTGCCTCCCATGCTGTTCTGATGCTAAACTTCAAGCCCTCAGGCGGGGCCATCCCAAGACAATAGGCTGCCTGATGGAATCCACCTCCCCCATTTCCTTGAAGTCAAGGTGCAGGGTAACTGAAGCCAGCTAGGTTATTTGGGCAGAAAGTTTCACAAAGATTTATCCTTGCTCTCTGGCAGTACCTATAAATTTAATAACAAAATAAAATTTGCTATCCTTTCATGGCAACCCACACCAGGTGCCTGAGGGAGGGCCATTTCGCCCTGCCTAAAGGTAGGGCTGGATCCTAGCTACTTGGAAGAATTAAAGTATTTTATCTCTTGTGACCAGAGCTACCCTGGGGCAGAGATATTTTCCCCTCTCACAAAAAGCAGCTGGCTCTCACTTGTAAGAGTGAAATTTCACTTTGCCAGAGATTTTTTTTTAAAAGTCACCAGACACTGACTCCTCTTGATTACTTACTCCTAAGCACAGGAAAAAAAAGTTGCTGAATTCCTTGATCTTGCAGCAAAGAATGGTCCTTGGCCAGGTGAGCAGTATACAGAAAGAAAAGAAAAGAAAAGAAAAGAAAAGAAAAGAAAAGAAAAGAAAAGAAAAGAAAAGAAAAGAAAAGAAAAGAAAAGAAAAGAAAAGAAAAGAAAAGAAAAGAAAAGAAAAGAAAAGAAAAGAAAAGAAAAGAAAAGAAAAGAAAAGAAAAGAAAAGAAAAGAAAAGAAAAGAAAAGAAAAGAAAAGAAAAGAAAAGAAAAGAAAAGAAAAGAAAAGAAAAGAAAAGAAAAGAAAAGAAAAGAAAAGAAAAGAAAAGAAAAGAAAAGAAAAGAAAAGAAAAGAAAAGAAAAGAGCATGTTGAAAAGTCATGGCAATCCTTCTCAGGGTTTTCTAAGTATGCCAGACCCTTCTCCTAGGGCTGCCTTGGGGTTGTACAGGTTGCCCAAGGCAACACAGGTTGGCTCTTTCTCCAGGGAAGCACAGTGGGGTGTCTAAAGCCCAACATCTGGCTGTGTAGCCAGGTACTCCAACTCACTGAGCTATCCAGCTGTGTTCCTATTGTCTTCTCCACTTGAGAAAAACAGCACATATACACATAACAAGCACAGAATGATTGGCTGCATGTTGAAGAACATGAAAAGAACCCATTGACTGCTTCAGATTCTGAAGATAGCAGTCTGTCTAGCTTTTCACAATGCACACAATTTAGCTAGTCTTGTACAAAATTTGGACTCTGTTTGCTCAAAAAAAAAAAAAAAGAAAAAGAAAAAGAAAAAAAGGAGGGGTGGGTGGGAAGGCAGCTGAAGAAAAACGGAATTGTCCTTACCGAGTATAATCTCTGTTTGTCACTGTAATTCATGCCAAAAATTACAACATTAGGGAAACCTGAGTTTGACTGGGTAAACTCAAACCTACCTACTGAGGACAACTTCATAGAGATTATGTTTGATGTCCTATTGGTAGCCCCATCTAAAGAAGATCGCTTGAATCAACTGTTGAACGATAACGTCAACACATATGTAATACCATGTTGGTCTACTCTAGTTGAAACTAGCACAAGAATACTAGCCCCACTGTTCTGAGATCCTCAGTATTAGTTGTTGTGGGTTTTCCGGGCTGTCTGGCCATGTTCTGGAGGTCTTTCTTCCTAACGTTTCACCAGTCTCTGTGGCTGGCATCTTCAGAGGACGGGAGCTACAATTCTGTCCAACCATTGAATCACAGCTGTGAAAGCATTTGAGAACACATCCCCAGTATCCTTATGTATGTTTCAAAGATGAATGGAAAATAGGGATTCTGATACAACTGCAACTGATCAATAAAAAAGCTAGTAGAACAAGGAAGGCCAAAGTCAGCCCACAGCTGCATCACAACCTACACATAAGCGCCTAATTCTACAGACCTTCCACTGACGCTAGCCAGCTTTAGAACATCCCATTCTGAACTAAATTCTATAGCAAGTGTTCGAATTAAGCTGAGCCTGCCTGGTTTAGGAAGCCACACTGGATTAGATTTACAAGCACACCTGTATTGCTTTCAAAGCTACTTACTTCCAGGTATTGGCTGTGAAGCCAAAGATTAGGAGTCTGATTCCCCACTTTGCCTCCTTGATAAGGGCTTGAATTGATGCTCCATAGGGTCCCTTCCAATTCTACAGTTCTAAGATTGTATTATATAATTAAGACCCTCCCATCACTAATTTGGTCTATAAAACCACTCTAGGTTCCCTTCCAATTCTACAGTTCTAAGATTATATTATATAATTAAGACCCTCCCATCACTACAATGCAGTTTCCTTCCAGATACACTCCCAGAGCTCTCCTGCTGAAGCCTAAGGCTTGCCTAGCCAAAATGCCATGAGAGGGAGCCATCTAACAGATTTGGATTCCTTCACCTGCGAATGAATTGCCATCCCCATTCTGGCCTTTTCCCTCCTGCTGCATGTTGGAAAGATCAGAGCTGATTTATATGGGCAGCTTGTCCCTGCATCAGGCAATGGTGGCGTAATTGTTATAAACCTTGTTTGCTTTCCCTGCCTTCCAGAGGGTGCTGCTGAGGAGAACTGCTTGTTTTTGTTAAAAGCCATCTTAGGGATTTAACACTGCAGGAAAAGAGCATCCTCAAGCTGGCTTCACAAGCAGATCTGTTCATGTAGCCCAGCGGTGACTGGTGGGTTTTCTTGCTCCTTGCCTCCCACAGTGAATGCAGTCCTGAAGCCCCTGGGTAAGTGTAGCCTGCAGATCTTCTAGTGCCCACCCCACTCCACATTCCCTGGCCCTGCTCATGTTTCTCTCCCATGAAAATGGAGAGCTCCCGAGTACAGCCACGGACATTTTGTGAGCAAGGATGAAGCAACATTTGAAAAGGGGTTGGGGAAACAAAAGCAGCCAACAAAGAAGAGGAGACATTTATAATGGACCTCTCAGCTTGAGGTGGCGAGGAAGGCATGGTTTTTGAGATTTGAGGTTCGGGGATTTGGCATGGCTGCGAAAGGCCAGTTTATTGTTCCCAGTGAATGAATATGATGCAATAAAACCGGAAGGTGACTTCTCCAATGAAAAACCTGGCTCCAGAATCTCTTTTCATGGTGGCTATATCAAAAATTCTATAGCTAGCTGAGTGGTGTCCTTTACAAAGTCCTCTATTCTAGTTCTGGGAAAGTGTCCTGGTTTGACAATGTTCCATCTCTACGGTTCATCACTCACACTTTGAAGCCACACATGACTTTCTTCTAATTTTAATTTACATTTCTTCATCTTCACTTTCCAGCTGTTGATTCCAATTCTAGTCTGCATGGCTCAACTTGAAGAATTCTTTAGCACCCAATAATTTTTAACCTAATGTTTTGCTCACCAAGGACCATCGTGATCTCATCAATGGATGGACCTGGCTTCTCATCCCATCAGTTTGCAATGACAAATTGCAAGCAAAACACGGGGGGGGGGGAAGGGGCGGTGTAGGGGAAGGCAGAACAAATCACAAACTTGATTAGAAACTAGACAGGGATGGGGAGGAAGCCATAACCTATTCCACTTAATCTACCTCTGAAATAAATGTGTCATGAACGTGATGAGGGGAGAGATTAATATGGGCAAATTAAAAAATATAGAATAGAAGCTGGTCAGAAGGGAAGCTGCATCAGTATTCATTCACACACACCCTTTTTAACACTACCCAGTGGCTGCTCACAAAACAAATCTGAAATAATACAATATAAAAATATAATAAAATATAATGTAAAATATAAGTCAAAATAAAACAAAGACAGAATTAAATTAAGGTAAAACCAACAGCAGAAGGGCAATAGATGAGTGTTCTTGTAGTTTCCTTTTCTTCTGGTGTCTGAGGAACTGCAGTTCTGTGAGAAGGCACAGAAGTGGATGCCTCATCATGAAGGACAAACTACCATCCCCATGCGTCTTTGGGGCAGAGCTATGGCAGGCTGGAAGTTGATACAAAAGAGCTGTGTGGCAATAAAGTGAAACAGTGAATGAGTTGTGGCCAACTGCAGGAAGAGCTTTCTTGTGCTCTGCATGCACTTGCCGTACAGACAGTGCTACTTTCCCTCATCCTTCTCTCTGGACTACATTCAAAGGCGCATAACAAAGCCCTAGAAGTTGGATTTGATGGGGAGAAAAAAACTATGACAGTGTTCACTTTTGAGTGGGAAAGTGCATTGGAGGGGAGGATCAGGATCAGAAAACTCCTCTCACTCCCATTTCTTTGTAGAATTCCAGAATGGCATTTTTTTTCCTGCGGTTGTTTGTGAACACAGGAGGTGGCTTTGTATGAGTTCAGACTGCTGGCCCATCGAGTCCAGGACTGCCTTGTTTGTGACTTAGCAGTTCTCACATCCTCTACATCCTTTTATCTTGAGAAACAAGAGACTGACCCCTCGGCACACATAGCATGTGTTCCGCCACTGCACTATGGTCCATATTTTGCTATGTGAGTTCTTCAAATATTCGGGGAGTGGTTCATAATTGCCAGTGCCCTCTCCCATGTGCTTCGATAACCAAGTTTGAAACCAGTCCTAGTCTGACATTCTCTCCTCTACACCATACCATCTCTCCCTTTGTATATATATAAGGTTCCTTTTAACACAAGATGTCCGTTTAAGCTGCTCTTCAGCTGGAAAGTGCTCTCTCCCTGGGGAGGTGGGGCACCTGTAACATTTGTCATACCATCAACAGCCTTTGGCGTGGGGGGGGGATTTGGGAACCCCAACAAAATCCAGAATTCTCCTTTAAAATATCATTTTAGCCAGAGGCCAGTTAGTTGTTTCTAACAGTGTAGCTCTTCTCCTCTACTCTCTTGATCCACAACACACTCTTTAGGCCAGTTCTTCTGGTCCTGTTGAAGCACAATGCACAGATTGCCCCCCCCCAACTTACATGCCACCTGCACTTCGGTCTGCCTTTGCAGTAGGGCTCCCATGCGATTGCGCACGATGCAACGGTAGAAGCCAGCATGGGTACGGTCCAGGGATGTGATCATGTACCTTGAGAAACAGAGAAGGACAGACAAGAGAGAGAGAGAGATGACTAAATAGGTCAATGCAGTATATAATCAATGAGGTACATAGCCAGGGCACCTGTAATCTCATGTATCTTCTGATAGGCTAAATTGAATTGCTGTTGTCCTGTGGCACCATGGATTACATTTACACAAACACTCATGATTTACTTTACAGTGGCAGCCTTACACTCTTTTGTCTGGACCAAAGAAAAAGAAAACAAAATAATTTTGAAAAAACTTGGATGTGCCACTGGATCATGAAAATCAGAGAGAGGCTACAAATACCACAGCAGGTGAAATACACATACTGTATAGCAATTGGTCTCAAAAGGTATAAGGTGTGATCTTTAGAGTACTTTGTATTTTTTTAAAATCACAGATATTATGGCCATTGTTGCCACAGGAACATCCCAATTAAAGGAAAAGCTGTATGTTGGTTAAGTACCTATATGGACCATAGTACGTTCCTCCTCTTCTACCTCTGTCATTGTGTGGGTTTTATATTTTAAAACCTTTTGAGAAAGAAGCAGATCACACTGCTGTGGGTTAATTTAAATAGGAGTGCATTGATTCTGACCAAAGCTTGCAGAGTTAAATGTATTCGCGAAGGCTTTCACGACCAGGATCTAATGGTTGTTGTGGGTTTTTCGGGCTCTTTGGCCGTGTTCTGAAGGTTGTTCTTCCTAACGTTTCTCCAGTCTCTGTGGCCGGCACCTTCAGAGGACAGCACTCTGTGCTCTCAGAGTTGCAGAGTTACTTAAAAAAATTATCTATGGCTACAGTTCCAAATCTCAAACAAAAAATGGTTACCTTTTAAAAAAGCATATTTCAAAGTTTCTTGTTATAAGTAACTGCCTTTTAGTAACATTTAAAAAGAAAACACTGGTCAGAATTCTATTGGTGTTCATGTACAGTTTGCGTAACATATTGTGGCTAACTGTGTCTGAGGCACAGGCCCCAAATTCTGGTTGCACAACTGGGTGCACAGTCGTGCATGGAAGGTAGATGCACCCCAGCACCTTGTCAAGTAGCCATAATTAGCCATGGCAAGTTAGGCAAGCCTGAATGTAAACACCAACAGGATTTTGGCCATTGTTATGTTGCAGGTCGCAAGGTACAAAATTCATGTAAGTAATGAAGGCACATACTTTTGTGAAAACAAACTAACAAAAACAGCTGCAGTTACTTTAGAAAAAGACTGATGCAAAGTAACTTAGTTGTGCCTTAACTATTGCGGAAATAAATTAATTACACAAAACTCATTATCCATAACAATCTAGTTCCAGATTGGGAGAGGAAAGAAGGAAGCTAGCTGAGAAGTGCTATTTCCAAGTATGGACATCATTTGGCTAATCAGGATTATCCTGCCATTATTTTGAGTTAGATACTAAGGTTACCAGGCGTCAATGTTCCTGCGGGGAGAGCCAAACCTCCCGTGGGGGAGATGTTGTTCCTTCTGTCACTCCCTTAAACTCTGCTCAGCATTGTCCCTCTGATCCTTCAAGCTTACGTGCCCTGTTGCGTTTGTGTGAGATAGTTTCATACCAATGCACAATTATCTTGGGCAATTAACATGCTGCTGCATCTTCAAATTACGGACTCTATATACCAGCGCAGGCTGACTGGGAGTGTGCAGAGAATACTCCTATTCTGTGAAGACATAGTGCATTAGTCTTGGTATATTCTGCACTCCTGCTCTGCTTTCCCATGTACACCCTTTCAGTTTTAAACACATTTACAGAGGATGGAACTTCCAAAGGAAATAGCACAAGCATTTTTAATAAAGGAAAATCTGATTGCCACTTTTTGTCACATACCCCACCCCCCATGAAAGATAAGCCAAAGAAAAAGAAAAGGGGAATTAGGGAGCAAAGTAGCCAGAAGGTCACTTCCAAGGCAGTCAGTGGTGTTGTTGATGGAGGGGCTGTGCCTGATGCCCAGAAGCTTCTGAGAGGTGTGTTTCACCATTTTGGCCAAAGGGGGGGGGGAAAGAAGGTGAAGGGCTAGAGCTGCAAAAATAGGTTAAGGGGCTGTATGCAGCCCTAGAGTTATACCTCAACACCAGTCATCCTGGAGGCCCCTCCCCCAATATCTCCCCCACACCAGAAAGGAAAGGGGAGCCATGTCATTGACATGTACCTTGTCCAAAATGGCATTGTTCTAAGCAGCGTCTTCTGGTGAGCTGGTGGCCTTCTGAACTCCCAGCTAAGTCTGTGGCTTCAAAGAATGGACTCCCCTTCTTTGTGGCAGGAATGTCTTAAAATGTCAAAATGACGTCGATCAGAGCAAGAGGATAGAGCTTTTGAATAGGCAACATTTCAGACCCAAAGCCATCCCTAGTCTAAGATCCTCCTTATACTAAGGAAGGGGATGGAAACTAGTTCACACATTTAGAGAAGGGAACATTCCCCACATCCGTCTCCAGGACAGGCATGCCAGTTCTCTTTCTCACCCATCTACTCACTCATTCTTCATTTTCCACTATAGTTGTATAAACATTGTGCATCATATATTCTTCTCGACCCTCAGCCCTTGACCATGCAAGAAAGGAATCTCTGTAATGTGTCATTACCATTACAGAAAACTTGCAGAGAAAATGGATTTATGTTCAAATAGGCTTGAGACTAGGAATGGCGGCAATGAAGGAATTAGGAAAGAACATCAAGTGTAAGGATGGGTCACTGAGACCAACAAGGTCATCCATACTCATGTATTTCCGATCACCACTGATGGGTGTGAAAGATGGACAGTTAAGAAAGCAGGGACAAAAATGATTTCTTTGCAATGTAGTGCTGGAGAAGAGCTTTGTGGATACCCTAGACTGCCAGAAAGTCAAACAAGAGGGTCCTATATCAAATCAAGAACTATCTCTGGAGGCAAAAATGTTGAAGCTGAGGCTGTCCTACTTTGGGCATATCAAGAGAAGGCAGGATTCTCTGGAAAAGACAACAATGCTGAGAAAGGTGGAAAGCAGCAGGAAAAGACAAAGACCAAATATGAGATAGGCCAACTCTGTAAAGGAACTCACAGGTTTCAGTGTGCAGGAGGCTAAGCAGGGCTGTTGAGTTGGGACTAGAGATGGGGGCGACTCACCATTTTGGCGAGTTGTCCTGCTTTGTGAGTCATCAAAAGTTGCTTTGTGAGTCATCAAATGACTCACAAAGCATGAAGCTGCCCCCCGCAGCTATGTTGATTCATAGGGGGTTACTAAAAAAATCCCTGACTCCCCCACCACCACCCCCTGCGGCCTCCCACACCACTGGCCTCCGATGCCCCCTGCTGTAATTGCGGCCACCGCCATCACTGCCTTCACTTTCATCTCCAGCAGGCTAAAGGAATCCAGGCTGCCCTTTCCAAAGATGGCAGCTGCAGCTTTCCTACCCTAAATGAAGCCGCAGCTGCCATCTTTGCATTGGGCTGCCAGTGTCCCTTTCCACAGGCCATGGCTGTGGAGGCCTGCTGGAGATGGTGGGGGTGGTGCGGTGGGAGGGTGTCTAGAGTAGGGAGAGGAAGGGGGTGGGAGATACGCTGTGGAGGTGGCTGGCTGCCTATCGGCCCATCAATCAGCCGATCGGCAGGCCAGGAGGCAGAATGGCTAGCCTTCCCTCTCCTCGTATTGGAGACGAATAAAAATGGGGTAATATTTGCCCCTTTGTATTTGTGGGGGTCTCTATAACCCACGAATATGAAGGGACAAATATTTAATGAGAACGATTTCTGACAAATACTGTATTGCAATCTATTTTTTTATTCGTCCCCTTGTCTAGTTGGGAGTTGATTTGATGACACACATCAACAAGGTTTGAAGTGTACTTTCCATCACTGGTACTAAAATAAACAAACAAAAAAACCCCCAAAAGATCAAGAATACTGAGGGAAATGTGCATTCCTGCTGTTACAACATTTTCCCTCCAGATGTTCAATTATTTTCAGTGTTCCATGCCTATGACACTGGACTTGCAAATGAAGACCATATCAGAAAGCAAATTTGAAACAGGGGGTGTGAGGTAACATCACACACACCCTTCACAGGTTAATGGACCCCCACTTCTAAAGATGGACTATCTGTATTTGCTTAGTCTGAGCCCAAGAAAGCTGCTGAGCCCAGAAGCCACTGGCAATGGTGCGGCTAAAAAATATTGTACATAAAATAAATATAACACTAGTATGTAGATTTTCTAAACATGATAGCTGGACAAACAAGACATGGATGGGGACATGAGAATTCGGGGTGAATTAAATAGGACAATAATCTTGGATAAACTAATCAGGAAGAGGGGATTGTGAAGAGAATGACAATAAGGCGTGAGTTTTGAATAAATAGGTTAGAGAAGGTTGGCTGGAAAAAAAACTTCTCTTCAGGCTAGACATCCACATACATTAGCAATCTGGAAACAGTGATTTAAAATCAGGCATTCATTCACTTAGTTTCTCTGCAGCAATGAGAGAAATCGGAAGACGGAAACTCAGAGGACATAAGGGAAGGAATTCAGGCTGTTTCCAGCCCCCATGCCCTTAAATTTAATCAAGTACTAAAAAATGCTGGAGGCTTCTTTGATACGAGTTTGTTTGTTCTTTCCAATACACAGTTTAAATTAAACTTTAATAATGAGAGGCGATCATCTAATGTCTGCCTCGAAGTCTAGAAACACTTCTTCCCTAGTGCACGCACAGGATATTGTTTGCCTGCAGCATGCAGAAAAATTCATCTCTATTACCTGTGGATAAAGAGGGTGAGGGAGCCTCATCCAGCACTGTTGGCAAGTTGAGCATCAGCTCTCCCTGCGTCGGCACCAGCGCTGCCTGTTGTAGCAGCCGTATGCTGGGAGGCTCTGAAGCACAAACGATGGGGGTGGGTGGAGAGGGACAGCCGAGATGCCTACCGGTGCGTGAGCAGTGCACAACCAACACCTGAAACATCTCTCCAGATGTACCATGATGGCTGAAATATTAGAAAAAGCCTTATAAGCTATCCAAAA